TATATATATATATATATATATATATATATATATATATATAAAATAATATATATTATAAAAAATATACCAGAGATGCTGATTTTTCTTTGTGACGGAAGTCTTAGTATCTCCATTTAGTATCAGTCATTGAAGTCAGAAAAACAAAAGTGAATCTAAAATGCAGATTGTCGCTAGCTTAACTTGGCTGTGCGCACAGACAGCAGAACTTTAAACAACAGAACTTACTGCAAAAAGGTAAAGTAAGACCCACAACAAGAAAGGAACTAAAGGATTTGAGGCTTAACAGTTGTTTAGCCTTCAGATAATCAATGTTCAAGTAGGTCAATTGAAGAAAACCTTCAGGGGAAAATAGATTAGAATCTGAAGAAATTGGAGGATATGTGGTTAGACAAGTCCGGATTTACCCTGATCCTGAGACAAGGACACATTAGAAAAAGATGGCAGTTGTATAAAGTGATAAACTCATTCATGATCTAGTTTCTGCAGGTGCAACACTATTGTTTGGGGTTGCAGTTGGTCAAATCTAAGGTCAGATACTGCCTAAAGGACATTCACAGATTTCTTCTTCACTTATGTCACATTATTTTAAGCATGCTTAGTGTGAGCGATTGCCTTCGAGTTAATGAGTCGATGCAATCAACTGGTTTTCCCTTAGATAGAAAACTTTGAATCAATTTGGCTATATGATCTGGTGAACTGTAAAGTGCCTTGAGATTACATGTGTTGGTGCTATAGAAATAAACTGAATTGAATTGAATATGTCATTGGTATATTTCCTGAGAACCATGTTAGAATAAATTGGTCTCAAATTGTGCAAGAGTTCTCCAAGTGGTAGGGAACATAATATACATTGATTTTACCATTAATATGTCCACACTTTAAACCCATTAACAGTAAATTGCAGATACGGAGTTTGGAAACCTAAAGGACACTACATACTGTATCTTATTTAGTCCCCTTCTGTTGAGATGTACCCTAAAGCTTGATGCTAGGTGGTATTTTGTCTCCAATTTATGTGTTGTCTTTAGGGAAGTAAAACATTCCGTTGTTATGGTAATGAACTCATGTATTTATTCCTTTTTAATGTGAATAAATAAGTCCTACTTTATTTGTTACTGTGAACTCCATTTGGAAGTTGTCCCCCTGTAGATGACCGAATGATTTCCTTTATTGTTCCTCCTCTATCGGGGTGTTTTTCAAGCAAGCAAAACTAGCTCTTATAATAACTTGTGGTCACCTATGTTAAATCTCATTATTTAGCCAAAAGACCTTGAAATTCCATAGTAATGCTTTTATCACCTCTGAACTTGATAACCGCTATTCTCTGTAGACAATCATCTTATTATTAGTTGCAGCTGGTACCAATGCTGCTACTCAAATTTTAGGCAATTTGCCCTGGCTGTCTTTTTGTATCACTTTTAAATTTCCACAGTTTATTTATACTTGATGTCTGTATGCTGTTAGCACTTGAAACTGAAGTGAAATATCAGCTTTGTTTACACAGAATTCTTACATTTAAAGTCTTTAATGGTTTGACACTGCTTCATTTTTCTACAAATATTTCCCCAAAAGAAAAGTAAGATCATTTTGTGCTTCTTGTGCAGTGTAGCTCCAAATTCGAGAATATGGGGAATTGGCCTTTGTGGTGGCCCCCACAGACTCTTGACTTTGGGTGATAGTGACTCAGGGGGTATGGGTTAGTTCTGTAACTGGAATGTTGCTGTTCTAGACCCTGCTCCATCCATCACAATAATTGTGTCTCTTGGCAAGAAACTCACCCACCTTGCATGCCTTAATTGGTCAGAGGGCCAGTCAACGGCAGTTATATAGCAGACTTGGCTCTGTCAGTTGCCACATGGCACCTTCGGCTACAACATAGCTTACCATTATCAGTGCTTGAATGGTTAATGATTAAATGTAGTTTAAAGCAAATAGAGGTCCTTTAACTTCATAAGGCACAATGCAAGTAAATGCCATTTGTCACAAACCACACAATTCTTCATTATATTGAAGATAAAAAAAACTTCTAAATAATTTCATACACCCCAAATATGTATGCAAAAAAACCTTTTCCATATTAGTAAAAATTAAGGTGATCTGCAGAAAACCCCCCAAACCTTTGCATTAAACTTTTGTCTTATAGAGTAACTGTTTCTGTCAATAACAACGTTATCTGTGTGTGTTTCTTTGTAGGATCTTGCTGACAGTTGTGGTGATCTTCCGTATCTTGATTGTGGCCATCGTTGGAGAGACGGTGTATGAGGATGAACAGACCATGTTTATATGTAACACTCTTCAGCCCGGCTGCAACCAAGCCTGCTATGACAAAGCCTTCCCAATCTCTCACATCCGCTACTGGGTCTTCCAGATCATACTGGTATGCACTCCCAGTTTGTGCTTCATCACCTACTCCGTCCACCAATCTGCAAAGCAGAGAGACCGACGATACTCTTTTCTCTATCCCATAATGGAGAAGGACTATGGTGGACGGGACGGGGCGCGAAAGCTACGCAACATAAATGGAATTCTAGTCCAGCATGGTGGAGATGGTGGGGGTGGAAAGGAGGAACCTGACTGCTTAGAGGTCAAAGAGATCCCCAATGCTCCTCGGGGTCTCACCCATGGGAAGAGCTCGAAAGTTCGGCGACAGGAAGGAATCTCACGCTTTTATATTATTCAGGTGGTGTTTCGAAATGCACTGGAAATTGGCTTCCTAGCGGGCCAGTACTTCCTTTATGGTTTCAGTGTGCCTGGTATTTTCGAGTGTGACCGCTACCCCTGCCTAAAGGAGGTGGAGTGCTACGTGTCCAGGCCCACGGAAAAGACCGTTTTCCTGGTGTTCATGTTTGCCGTCAGCGGCATTTGCGTGGTGCTCAATCTGGCTGAGCTCAACCACCTCGGCTGGCGCAAGATAAAGGCTGCCATCAGGGGAGTCCAGGCCCGCAGGAAGTCTATCTGTGAGATCCGGAAGAAAGACATGGCACATCTGTCCCAGCCGCCCAACCTGGGACGCACTCAGTCCAGCGAATCTGCCTATGTCTGACAAAAACCTTTAAAACAGGAAGAAAAGGAAAGGAGGAGTGGGATGAATGTGTGCTGGGTTAAATGGATAAAAAGCTTGGGGTCGGGCAGGGACAATCTCTCTTCTGCTATGATGGGAGAAAAAAGAATGTAAAAAAAAGACCCAACAGTCTGACTCTGCAGCTTTAAAGTCAAGAGAAGGAGGCAAAGGAAGGAAAACATGATAAAGTCTAAACTAGGACAAAATGTTTTTTTTTACTGCAGAATGGACTTAATTAACACAATGGTCTCATGAGAAGATATTCCTGCCGTTTTTTATTCCTTTCTTTTACAACTAATTACCTATTATCCTTTGAAATGAAAAAAAAATATAAACCCACATGGGGCTCGGGAGTGAAGAACAAAAACTAGAGGCGAAAGAAAATGTTGATGGTGTTCTCTTGGGAAATTGGAAGATGGCTGAGGTGTGTGATCCATCTGATGGTGCTTTTCATCTGGACTTTATCAGCTTCCCTTAAAAAAAGTTGGAGGTGGGGAAAGGATGGGGGATAGGACAAGTAAGAGGAACAGCAACATCATTAAAAGAGGAACGGAAGAACTGTCACGGCCTTGACAGACCCTAAAGGATGAAGACAAGTTTGGGAGCTACTTGAGAGTAGAAGGGGGGTGGGGTTAAAGCTTTCAGACAACATATGATAGAAATGTGAGGAGCGAAGAGAGGAAGCGTTTTTCCCTTTCCGATCCTTTCTCCGTCAGAGCCAGACTGAAGCCAGGAGAAATGGAGCTGCCTCCGAACATTATGTCTTGCCTCCGCTGGAACATCGACACAGGCCAAACCGAGAGAGAAAGACTGACGATGTTTATGCCTTGTCTCTTGGCAAAAGATGATTTCAACACAAACACAGCGTCTAGCTACCATAAACACTCTTTTCTTCACCTCCACTCCATCTCCCTCCCTCTCAGCTTCACGGCTGGCAGCTGTAGAGACAGGGGGCAGGGAGGAATGCAAGTGACAGAAATAACCCCTGCTGCTCTCCTGCTGCATAAACTTTGAAGAGTGAACAAATGGGCAGGAGGGATGGTTAGTTTAAGTCTCTTCTAAAGCACAATCCACACAAACCTCTATCCATCATTTTGGTGTGCTCATAGACAATGAAGAAGAAAATGAAAGTAGAAGGAGTTAAGAGGAAATTTTTCACCTTACTGTACTGTAAACATATTTTTTTTTTTTTTTTACAACAAACCACTAAGATTTCTTTTTTGCTTTCAAAAACTATGGTGCCATCCAGATATTTTTCAATATCCTCTAAAAATTGCATAGAACAACCTGGTAGTATTATTTATTCATTTTTAGTATATCAAAATAGACTTATTTATCTTTTGGGAGAGGTTGGATGAGTAGTCCCTGTTCTTTCAAACGTACAAACTGTCTGTGTTTTTCATTTTTGTTTTGTGTGAAGTGTTTCTCACCACTGGGTGGGGTTGATCCATGAATGGTATGAGGGGGCAAGTTGGTGAAAGCTTTGAGGATGTACAGCTGATTTTAACGTCTTTATTTTTATTTTTTACTCTTCGGACTAAACCGAAGCGAGTGCAGATCAACAGCACCTGCACCGTATGTTTCCAACACAGAGCCTTGATTTTTTTTTTTTTCTGAAAATCAGCTGCCCACCCTTTAAACTCTTAAGGCCTGAGAGCCTGTTGATAAAGGCATGTTTACATGATGCAGATTTTTTTTTTTGAATGATCAAGCTGTGTAACAGTACAGTAGCTTCTCTCTAAGAGATTGTGATGTTTTTTTTCAGTCTCAGTGGGTTTTTTAATTTAGCTTTTTTTTTGTCTTCTCCTTACTGGATTTCAGCATGCATGCAGAGTAAAAGAAAATGTATGGAATGATTCGAAGACAAAGAAAAAAGATGACAGTGGTGCACCTTGATTGACGCAGAAGAGAGGAAGAGTGGCAGACTGTGGCAGCCCCCTGTTGGGATGATGATTGTGTTTCTCGGTCCTCGCAGATATGAACAAATGCATAATTTAGAGCACGGAGCAAACACAGTGGGAAAGAAGAAACCAGATATAGAGACAGTGCAGTGGACCTCATGTTGTATAGTTTTAAAGACATTTTTAGCCAGGACAGTGTACTTCTGTCATTCGTTAGGGATGAGGCTAAATATAACCAAACACTGACACCTCCCTGAACTTTGGTTTTGTATTTTGAAACAGTGAGTATCCTTTAGCTGCAGATTTCAACAATTAATGGGACCTACATCTTCCAAATGATGGGGAGGCGTTTATTCAACAAACACTTTAACAATCTGAGATTAGAGGTGTGATACAAGAATTAAATATGGAGCTTCCAACTAATTGAATTTCATATACATAGACTAAATTTGCACTTTAACTTTCCACTATTTATTTGACAAATTGTGGTTCACATTATAATATAGTATTTAAATATGTTTAATACATGTTAGAAGCTTTTATACAAACAAAAAAGGGACAAAAATTAATTAGTAAAGCTAAAAAATTACATTCAATCAGATTTAAACAGACAAAATGTGAAAACTAGCACATAAATATAGTATTTAAAGTAGTGATCCATATGTTGGGACTGTATATTATTGTCCTTCTTAGATCAGATCTTGGACTGAAGCCACCATTAAAGATTTCATGTCTCTTAGGGGCTGGCGATCATTTTGTTGCTAATTTAAATGGTCTTGGTATTTTAGGCCTTTCAAAAGATACACCATAATTAAATAAACTGCATCATAATAACATATTACACAGATGTTTTCTGTCTGTAAAAGTATTGTTATTAGGTTTTTTAACTTAAATAACTCAGCCTCTGTCCCAAAAACGTTAACATGGCAGCTTAAAGAAGAAATTTGTGATTTTCTATGTGAGTAAAAACTATTCATAATTTACTTTAGTTAATCCCTGTGAGTTTTCAAAATCTTCAGGCTGTGAAATTTGAAGTACATGGAAATCTGGAGGGATTTTCCCAGAAGGTACAAATATGTTAAGTCTAGAAAATAATGGATAGATTACTGTTATAATTAATGGGGCTAATGGCAATGATTGCAAATAAAAGTTGTTCAAAAGGGTTAAAAAAAACCTCACAGTATATTTTAGGGTTACTTTTACAAAAAAAAAACATTCTTATAATATTGATCTTAAATTATGTTTCACATTCACACACAGTGGAATAATATCATAATTGAAGCGTGACCTGTTAAATTACATCAATACACATTCATTTCATTGTTAAGATGCAGCATTTCAATTGAAAAAGCCACAATCACTAGCAACAGACTTTCTGTAAACTAGACCTAATTACCTTTTAAAGTCGACTGATTGCCATCATGGGCCCTGATCTCTTCAATCTACAGTGCAGATTCATACGGAACATAGTTAACGCCATAAGTTAATGAGCATATTGGCATGAAATGATCAATCTGAGACTGATTTAATCCTGTAGATGTAAATAAACCTGCAGATATGCACACAAAATGTAGCAGTGGAGTTAATAGAGCCTGTGGGATTTCTGTACAAACAAGATGAAAAACAATAGGAAAAACAACAACACTATATACTGAGACATAGATCTGGATCCAAAAAGCCTGGATTGAAGTATCTCTAATTAAAAGTGCTGTAAGCACATTTTGCTCAATAGTTACAGATGGACTGCTTCATTTACATACACTTAATATTCACATACAAAGCACTATATAAATAAATAGGAAGCACACATTAAACATATGATATCAACATGTAAGCTGCACAGTGATCCTTCTCAGTATCCAGTCACAACTACACAGATCCGAAAGACAACAGTTGGTCTTTGCTGAGGCATCTGCAGCCCTAATTCCCCCCCTTCATTCTTCACCACTGTCATAATCTCCTGGATTCCTACAGGTGATTATCTCCAGATTTAGTTTCCTCCAAGGATGTTTATGGGCCTCAGTGCCATCAGTACAGTCCTCTCTACATGCAATAGGAAAGGACCATTTCTCTGACATGACATGCTGGAATGTCTAATAATAGAGGTTGGGTTACCCATTACTTACAGTGCTTCTAGCAAAAGCTTAAGTAGTGACCTTGAGCTTAAAAGCCAAGCCAATGTTCTGTGCTATATGCAGCTCTGGTTGGAAAGTATCTTCATAGCTAGAACCCTGGTCTAATCTGCATCAACCATAGGTCAGACCTGCTTTGAGTACTATTTTTTACTGAAGGACAGTCATACACATGCTCAACATGTGCTCTTTCTGTAGGTTTCTTTACATACATATATATATATATATATTTGTAGATATATATATATCTATATACATATATATATAAATGTAGCAGTAAGCAGTTTGAACTCAACTTGTGCTCTTGGGTTCTGTGGGTATGTCTGGTTTCATTCAGGTCCGAAACACAAACATATCCTTAGTGTGAGGAGACGGAGGGCCATAAATGTGTCCTGCTTTTCTTCGGTTTACGTTTATCCAGCGTTCATTAGTGACTCAAGCCTCCTGTGGCTACAGTCACTGAGTTTGTCACTTTCACTGTAAAAGCAGGCCCCCGTCAACAGTCTACTACTCTCCAACACTCTGCTTTTCTATTTGTCAATGTGAATTCAATTATGCAACCTTTCTGGTCTGTTTTGCTTCTCTTTTTTGACTTGTGGGTTCTTTTTGTTGTCTGTTGCTCTTTCTGTGCAGTGGCATATCAAAAAAGAAAGATATTTTCTATCTATGTAAAGAAACTTTTTTTTTTTAACGAAGGGTAGAGAAGTGAAGTACAATAGCTGAAAAAGATGTTTTAATTCCTTCTTTGCCAAAGTGATATGCAACGTTTCTTTCATTTACAAAAATCTTTTTTCAAGCGCATGTTTAAAGGCTATTATAAGCATGTTTCTATGTTTTTCTTCTAGAAAACCTTTAAAGAGAAACTTTTATAGTCCAAATTATGAAGTGAGGCTATTATGCCTTGATGCCAAGTGTGTATTTTAAGGCTGCAGGTTGTTTGATCCCTTCGCTGACTTGTTTTGTCCAGTTAGTGCTTGAATTTTCTGGTTAAAATGCCGACTACGGAACGTTTTGTACCGAGCATGCATTAACTCGTACCCACCAGGTAAATATCTTCTTACTTTCTATATTCAATTCACAGGTTATTCAACATATGAATCCGGGTAATAATATATACCTGCAGGGGAGATATTATTTGGTTACTATATAGGATGTGGTACAAGGTGTTTTTTTTTTTTTTTTTTTTGTATTTAAGTGATATTCAATTCAATTGAACTTTTAACGAGATTTAAGTATTTCATTATATCTCTAAATGAGATACGCCTGTCTTGGGTATGGTAAAAATAAGCGAAGGGATTAACTGACTTGTGGCGGCATTTTAAACATCTAATTGTTCTGATTACACAAAGCCAGGCAGATTATACCAAAACAGTGCTACCTTTCCTCAAAAACATAGATAACCTGTTCATACAGTCAATGTTCTACTTTGTGAAATTTGCACATGAATATATATAAATATACCTTTAAAAGAGTAAGTAGTAAAAGATGTTATATATATATTCATAAACCAGTTGCTGAAATGATTTACTGTAAAAACACAGGGTACATACCGATATACAGTATATATATATATATATAAAAATATA